CTTTGGGTTTCTCCATTATGTACAACAAACTTCTGCCCCCGTTTTGCCTCATTTTCTTCCTTGATACTACAAACCAAATAACCAATCGTTTTTTGTCGCATCACTTTCCTCCCTAACAGAGATGATATCTATAATCTATTACATTTTTTTAATGGAACTAGTGGAACCCGGATGGCTGCGACAAACACCCAGCCGATGTGCACAGTACAAAACGAGAATGCTCGTCTATACTTCTTGTAAAGTAACGACTGTAAGTTGGAGAAATAAGGCCGTGTTGCTGAAATGACGCAGCTTGTCGTAAAGCATAACGGATTCGATGAAGGTGAACTCCTGGACGTGCCGACATAACAATTTGCCAGAATCGTTCCCAATGCACATGACTTTTAACACTTTGACTGCGACTCCTAAAATAGCCTGTAGTTTGACATCATTGTGTTTACCATATATGGCACACGTCGCAGTCAAAGTGTTAAAGAGTCAGGAGATAATGAGTCGGCTGACCGCTTAACCAATAATCATTGGCCATCGAAGATTGACTGCAGAGCAGGAGAGCGCGGCAGAAGTAGTTTGCGGTTCGTGCAGTTGTCAACCTCCACGAGGATTTCGGTCACAGCGAGCTTGACTATGTCACGAAGTACCATAAAGCGGGCCGTGACCGCAGATTTTGCATAATTACTCAACCGCCCGCTCGAATTCAGCCGCCAATGTACGATAATACTTCTGTTTATTCTTGCCCATTGGCAACTCGGATGCGGGCAAAGAAGTCGTTATGGCATTAGATATATACATTTGTTATGAATATGAGGTCGACTAACTTGTAGTTGCACAGCAGAATTCATACATTAAGTATTGTAGTCCTGTGCGTTCCGTATCTCTGTGTTGCTACCACTGACGATGGGCCCCAAGTGGATATCAAATACCAGATGAACGGAATTCTCAATCCAGCGATCGAGTCTCCTATTCACATCTGTTTACAAGGAATAGTCGCTCTGCCAGTATTGGTAGTAGTCGCGGCAGTGCGCCATCAGCTAAAAACGTATGCTAGCTGGTAGGGATTCGTAAAGGGCCATGGCTTGTATATTTGGGATCCCAGATAGATCTTCAATCTAAAAATTAACTTTTTATCGGACAACAGGCACTACCTACGCTGGTTGGCGAGGGCAGGGTCTGATAAGACAAACTTTTTTTTCAGTACACAAACGACGTGAAAGTTAAAACCAGCCTAAGGCAAGTATGGACTACCAGATAGGCGACGGAAGAACTCACACAACGATTCCCGGAGACCGCGCCAATAACAATCGCCAGTCAGACGAACTTTAGGTTGACCAGGTGCAGTTTTAAAGTCAGTAAAGACGCTATTGGGGTTTTAAAAAATGCTCCGAATGGTCATTACCTACTTTTCAGTCAATAATACTTATCCAAGCAAAACGGAAGCGTCTATCGACAGCTCGAGGCGCTACTGATTAAT